CTTCGGCCATTGGTTCACTTTGTTGTTTGCGCGTGCCCCGTCGTCTTCGAAACGTCCTTTCAATCTCGGGATCGTAAGGTATGATTTCCAAATTTCGACTCCTGGGCATAAACAAAGTGATTGGTTAAAATCAAGGTAAAAATCAAAAATAAAACAAGTAAATAGCTAAATTAATAATCAGATAATTGGTAACACTATTAACAAAGATAAAATCAAATTGGTCCCCGGCAACGGCGCCAAAAACTTGATACGCGTTTTCCACACGTATAAATTACCGCAAGTATACGGTATCGCATTTTGCAGAACAGTGGTTCCGGATATCGATCCACATGGACCTTGTAGATTCAAATGCTGAGTAGTGTAATTATATTATCGTTATATTATCTAGCCGATCGTAAATAAGTGGATTGGTGATAAACCCTAATTTATAAGCATGCAAGATCGTAAACATGCAAATATAGAATGTACGTAAATAAAGTAACGATAACTCAACGCGGGGACTTCGATTTAAAGGGGACTTCTAGGGCCAAATCCACCTATGTATAATCAACAATGATCTACAAATCCGTTATCTAATGCCACATTCCTATTCGTTAACCCAGACACTAATGTACTTTAACCCCCGTCTCCAGTGTAGTTAGAGTCTACCCACATGTCCGACATCTCCGTTCAGAACCTGCTATTAAGAGAGCATTTAGGTCAAGTCCTTAAGGGCTACCCAAAGTGCATCACGTCTCCGTTTCCACACCCCGAGCTATGCTTTCCTAACTTCAAACAAGAAATCATCTCTCGAGTTCATTCCTCTTTAATATCAATCTGAGAGCTGATCAACACAATCAGAAGCATTTAATACAGGAAAACATAAACGAAATCAAAACACGACAAATAGATAACAGAAATGACGATCGAAATCAATATATACAAGCCTTCATTGCCCTAGAAGAAAATGTTCTTAGTTCATAACAAACATAGTATCAAAAGAATGTACAAAGGAAATGAAGAATAAAACGTAAAGAAATTGCGTAAGAAAAACTCAAGTCAAAACCCCCGTTGATGATTCCCGCGAAGAACCGTCGAAAACCGTAAAAAGTCGAACAAGGATGAAGAATGAAAGGGCCTTTCTATTTATAGTGAAATGCAAAGCTTCCTCAAGAAGCTTTGCAAAACAAAATATCTTTCTCAAAAAACGTGCCAAGATCGCGATCCGGGTTGTTTGGATCGCGATCTGGCAGCTTCGGAGAACTGCCCACCGCCATGCCAGATCGCGATCCAGGAATGTGGATCGCGATCTGGATATTGACCCATTTTAGCTCTGTCGGACCCCCCAGATCGCGATCCGGCTTTCTGGATCGCGATCTGGATTTGACCCCTATTTCTTCTCTGTCAGCACCCCCAGATCGCGATCCGGAATGCTGGATTGCGATCTGGGTCTTGATCCATTTTCGTACTGTGACATCCCCCAGATCGCGATCCAGAGATGTCAGATCGCGATCTGGGTCTTCTTGGCATCAAAAAATCCAAGAAAATTCGGTTTCGCTTTCAAATGGCTTCGACTCGGCAAAAATACCTAATAAAACCCTGAAATAGAAATAAAACCAGAAACGCAATAATATATACAAATAAAGCCGAAACTCGGACGAACGAAAACCAAAACTCAAAGATTTTATAAGTCAAAATCGTGCAAAACAAACACTTATCAACCTTAAAATTATTTTAGTATACCTCAGGGGTGTAGGTATAATTTACCTTAATAATAATGGGCCGAAGATCCCTTCCGGAAACAGTTCGGCCCAGTTCATCACAACTAGTACGATCTTTACGTGAAAACATATGATGAAATCCCGACGGAATATTCCACCGCCGAGCAACTTCGGCTGGCGAGTGTACAAACAAACACCATCGACATATCTTTACGTGAGATAACACGACGGAATCTGGACGGAATATTCGACGGTCGTCAAGCATCTTTTGCTGGTGAATGTACAACAAACACCCATCGTCACGGACGTTATGAGCATTAATACATTTTCAAGCTGCACAATCGAGGGTGAGCGCAATGTGTTTGATGTAATTCCCCAGTGACTTTACAAAGCACAGACAACTAAAATACTACACAAAAAAAAAAAAAAACTTTGCTCGTGGTCATTTATGGAATTTTTGCTCCACCCAAAAGCCATGACCATTACCTTCTTCATCATTGTATTTTCCGTTCTGATCGCCGGATTCTTGGCCGGAAAATTGCTCGGAAAGAGAATCCACTACCACCCAATCGGCGGCACAATATTCAACCAGCTGATGAACTTCAACAGGCTCCACCATTACATGACAGATCTCGCCACGAAACACAAGACGTACAGACTCATCGCCCCTTTTCGGAGCGAGGTTTACACCGCAGACCCCGCTAACATAGAGTACATTCTCAAAACAAACTTCGAAAATTACGGCAAGGTAAATTAAAAAACATTTCAAGAATGGTTAGTTTCTAATCGTTATTGATGTTTTTTGTCGATATTATATTGATCCTCTGCAGGGATGGCACAATTACAGCATTCTAAAGGACTTATTAGGTGACGGGATTTTCGTAGTCGATGGCGAAAAATGGAAAGAGCAAAGAAAAGTATCGAGCCTCGAGTTTTCTACTAAAGCTCTAAGGGATATTAGCACCACAGTCTTCATCGAAAACGCAGTAAAGCTAGCTGGCATTGTATCCGAATCCTCGTTTTCCAATCAACCGTTCGATATTCAAGTGAAGATTAATGAATTATTATCATTTAACTAGGGGTTAATTTATTGCATTCAGCTCCATTATTTGTGATCGTGATCTTGTAAATTAACAGGAGCTTTTCATGAAATCTACTCTCGATTCGATATTTAAAGTTGCGTTTGGGGTTGATTTAGACAGCACGGGCGGTTCTTACGAAGAAGGGGAAAGATTTAGCCGCGCTTTCGACGACGCAAGCGCGGTTATTGCTTGGAGATACGTCGATGTTTTCTGGAAGATAAAGAAAGCTCTGAATATCGGTTCGGAAGCGAAATTGAAGGAGAATATTCGAGTGGTTGACGAGTTTGTGTACAAGCTAATTCGTAACAAGACTAACTGTGTAGGTTGAATCAATCAATTCATTTCTCTTATCAACACCCCTGTTTTTACTCTAATCGCTAAAAAACCCCTATAATTCAATTTTATTAGCAATCTACCCCCTAAAAATGCATCATTTTGGGGGTTGTTTGCTTAAAAAAATGCATCGTAGGGGTGTTCTTGCTAATATTTACGACATAAGGGGGTGCTGAATGCAATAAACTCTCGATTTATGCATGTTTCTTGTTTTTGTGGGCAGGTGGATTTGAGGAGAAACGACATTTTGTCGAGGTTTGTGAAGCTGTCGGAGGCGGATCCAAAGTACTTGAGAGATATAATCTTGAACTTTGTAATGGCTGGTAAAGACACAACTGCAACTACTCTATCTTGGTTCTTTTACATGATGTGCAAGCACGCTCGTGTTCAAGAAAAAGTGGCGCGCGAAATTAAAGAAATTAATCGAGCAGAAAATGTATCGGAATTCGCGGCTAATTTGAGGGAAGAAGCTTTGGAAAAGATGCATTATCTTCATGCAGCACTCACAGAAACTCTCAGACTCTATCCTCCAGTTCCTGTGGTAAGAAAAAACATCTTTGTTTTTTTACGTACCGCTCGTCTTTTTTTTTTTTTTTCTTTTTGAATATGATATTCATATGCTTATTTTAATTATCAATTTATTGTTATTAGCATAAATCTTCTGCGATCGAAAATCAAAGTCGAATCTTTGGAGGGAATGTGAGTGTGTTGTTTATATACGGGGTTTATTGCAATTATTTTATTGGCAAAACCCAACCCTATGATTCAATTTTTTTAGCACATAAGCCCCTAAATAAGGGTACTAATTGCTAAAAAAAAAAAAAAAAAAAATCATAGGGGGTGTTTTGCCAATAAAATAACATAGGGTCGTTTTTAGCAATTCGATATAACACAGGGGTACTAATTGCAATAAGCTTTAAATTCGACATAACACAGGGGTACTAATTACAATAAGCTTTAAATAAATATGAGGGTAAACTAACAAAGACTGTTGCATAGGGAGGTTTATGTTAATAAGAAATAATAGGAATTTATTTATTTGTTTTTATTTTTGTTGGCAATTCACTCAGTTATGTTGTGTATATTAGAACCCGAAAATGTGCTTTTCGGACGACACATTGCCAGATGGCTTCCGTGTGAGAAAAGGCGACACGGTGGCTTATCAATCGTACGCAATGGGAAGAATGAAATTCATATGGGGAGACAATGCAGAGGAATTTAAACCCGAACGATGGCTCGATTTTAACGGTTGCTTCCATCACGAGTGTCCCTTCAAATTTACCGCTTTCCAGGTTTTTTTTTTCTTGGACAATAATACTATATTTTTAATTTTATTTTAGATAAATAAACTCGTGTCTGATAAAACTGACGTATTTCTTGTGTGACGAACACAATTAATAGGCCGGGCCGAGGATTTGTTTGGGGAAGGAATTTGCTTATCGGCAGATGAAGATATTATCAGCTGTTTTGATGAGATTTTTCGTGTTCCGATTAAGTGACGAGAGTAAGAAAGTGAAGTATAGGACTATGATTAATCTTCATATCGACGGGGGACTTCGAGTTCGTGCGTTCGATAGAATAGTTCACGAGTGAACTTTCCGGATACGAAAAATTGCGTTTTATGCACAAATTTATGTATAATGTATGTATGTAAATGTTTTTGTTCTACTAATAATGTGATTCTGTTTTTAAACAGGTTTGTGTGTATAATGCCAATTATATTTGCATAATTAAAAAAAATACTAAATCAATTTCCGGTTTTGTAGATGCTATACCTGATGAAATACATCGGATGATTCTGTACGCATTGATCTATATATAATAACACACATCCATATCATGTACTACCACCTGCAATATTTCATTAGGTATATCATCTCATTGACCATGACTTTTCTAAAAGTTATTACAATTTAAAAAATCATCATAAGTAAGCATCAACTCTTGTGCAATTGTTCGAGAATCGTACTAGCACGACCTTAAAAATACGTACAATTAGATTCCGAACTCGAGTAAACCATCTAAAGCCACCTCCTTGGAGAGATATTTGCTTATTTCCATCGAATAGGATAGTTCAATCAATGAAATGCTACACCTAATTATTTACATCGGATGGATTAGTATCTTAGATTTGATTAAATAAGGGAAAACTGTAATTTTGGTTCTATATGTTGGTCTCTTTAGGGATTTAGTCTTGTAAGTTATCATATTTCAATTTTACATGCAATAATTATGCAAAATTAGTATTTTTAGTCCTATTTCACTCGAACTTTGAATTTTCGCCGAGTTTAACGATGTACCTAACAAACTCGTAGAAATTTATTTATATGGACAATTAAAAATTACAAATGCTCCTCTAGTTTGATTTATAGATGAGTCGTCTCACATAATTAAAGTTCTACAAATGGTAAGTTAGATGTCGAATTTATAAATTTCCAAGCGTCCATATAAGTAAAATGTGTCAAGTTTATTTGTGTCATAAAATTAAAAATCAGTTTAGTTAGGGTCTGGGTTGGGGCGGGTCTGGGTCTAAGCTAAAACGGGTTGGGGCGGGTCTTGGGTTTTAATATTTTTCGTGGGTCGGGTCTTGGGTTTAGGCAAACCCGGCCCAGAACCGACCCGTTGTCATCCCTATGTGTGTGATTAATGATTATGTACAGTACAACAGCCGTTCAACAACACGAACAACAATAATAATGTAATAATTAACGGTAAATTACAACCGCCCTCTAAGGTATGGTCAATTTATGAAAAAACTCCTCTTATTTAGATAATTACATCTACATCTTTTAACTATGTTTTTTTTTTCTTACAACTCCACTCTTATGGTGTCAAATTCAACATAATCATGGAATGTGCTCTAGTTTGTACTCGTTTTGTGTAAAAATATAGTTTCTGATGCACCACAATATAATATATACAAGCCAAAATACACATATTATGATCGTCTTGCTTCAAAATGTGGAGTTTGAATGGGATAAAACGGATACAAAGTGATAATATTCCACATAATCTCGAAGATTCCACTAAATTTGAAACCATCAAAATGAACGTGTAAGAAGATTTATAATTGAAGAGATGGTTGTAATTATCCAAACATGAGAGATTTTTTTCATAATTTAACTATACCTCATGGAATGGTTGTAATTTACCCAATAATTAATCCCAACTAACAAAAATAAATTTGAACTTTATTTGGTCAATGGTTCTAAAATCTAAAACATCAAAATCTCATCAACTTCACCAATCAACTTCACCAACTCATTTACAGTATCTTCCAAAAATTCCTCCATGGCAATAACCGTCATCTTTTTTTTTTTCTCTAATAATTATTAGGGTAAATTCCACTTTCTCACCTTGTAACTTTGACTCGATTCACTTTACCCCTTCTGCTCTCAATTGCATCGATTTGCTCCATACACTTGAAAATTTGTCTCAATGTGGCCTTCACTGCTTAGTTATTAGACATTTGACCTTGAGATCTACGCTCTGATATTACAAAAACGCCAACTCTCCCAGTTTAAATAATTATTTAAAAAACAAAAAATAAAATAAAAAATGAAAGACAACGAGGAAACATTGTTCAAGTACACGGCACTAGCCAAAATTTCTTTTTTATTTTATTTTCAATTTTTAAATAATTGTTTAAACTGGGAGGGGTGGTTGTTTTGTAATTTTCAAACTTAAATCAAACTTAAGGTCAAAGTCTAAAAACTAACAGCGAGTGCCACATTGAGACAATTTTTCAAGTACATGGGGCAAATCGATGCAATCGAGAGTAGAAATGGATAAAGTGATACATAACCAAAGTACAAGAGGAAAACTGGAATTTAAACAAATTGTTAATCAAATGCTGAAAATTTAGTAAATCTGTACATGGTTTTGAGAATTTGGAGATTAAAGAATTTTGCTACTTGAAAACAGTAAAATAGTAATGAGATCCTTCACAATTTTTTACTTGGCAGGGATGGCACAATTACAGCATTCTAAAGGATCTATTAGGTGACGGAATATTCTCCGTCGATGGTGATAAGTGGCGAGAGCAGAGAAAGTTGTCGAGCTATGAATTCTCCACGAGGGTCCTAAGGGATTTTAGTAGTGTCGTATTTAAACAAAATGTCGTAAAGCTTGCTAATATAATTTCCGGATCCGCAATTTCCAACAAACCAATCGATATCCAAGTGAGTTCACTTCAACTTCGCTTAACGAACAAGTGTTTCTATAAAAATATTACATTTTTTATGAGAAACGAGTAGCCCTATGCTGGCTCCGCCACTGCAACTGATTGTGACGATGGCTCTATTTGCAGGACCTTTTCATGAAAGCAACTTTAGATTCGATATTTAGAGTTGCGTTTGGAGTGGAGTTAGACACAATGTGCGGGTCGAGCGAGGAGGGTTGCAAATTTAGTGACGCTTTTGATGATGCGAGCGCAATGACTTTGTGGAGATACGTGGATATCTCGTGGAAGATAAAGAGGGCTTTCAATGTCGGCTCGGAGGCGAAGTTGAAGAAAAGTTTGAGAGTGGTGGATGATTTTGTGTATAAATTGATCTCTAGTAAGAGCGAGAAGATGCACGAATCACATGCCGATCCATCGGTAAGTTGAATCTAAGCCTAAGGCGTGTAAATTAGACTGATCGGATCGGAATTAGCACTTTCGGAAAAATTGCACAGTTTTCAATTTTGTTTCCAAAAAAAAAATGGAAAAATCGGAATTTCGGAAAATTAGAACGAAAAAAGTTGTTCCAAAAAATTGGAAATTTTCGAACCGGAATTTTCAAATTTTCAGTCACCTATAGTATAAAATACATAATAGTACTGATATTATAAGTGTAACTTTTCGAAAAAAATCGGAATTTTTGGAAATGAAAATCGGATCGGTAATCAGAATCTGATATGTATTCAAATTTTGTTCCAAAAATTCGAAAATCAAAACATCGTGATTCGAAATGAAAAATATTTTTTCATAACCAGTAATATTCGGACCGGAATTGGAGGTATTCGGAAATGCCGTTCCAATTTCCACCCACTTGGGCCAATTTGTACCTTTTTTTTTTTTTGCAGTTAAATACAAGGTTATCGTGTTTTTGTCTTATCAGCTTCAGTGGAAAAAAGAAGACATATTGTCGAGATTTTTGCAGTTCGACGAGATCAATCCAAAGTACTTACGGGATATAATATTGAACTTCATAATTGCTGGGAAGGACACAACGGCAACCACTCTCTCGTGGTATATTTACATGCTTTGCAAGCATCCGCTTGTACAGGAAAAAGTGGCGAAAGAAATCGAAGATGCTACAAACTCGAACGATGCGGTTATCAATATTTTTGAATTTATTGCTAAATTTTTTAGCGAAGAATCTATGGAGAAAATGCATTACCTTCACGCGTCACTTACCGAAACTCTGAGGCTCTATCCTGCAGTTCCAGTGGTAAGCAAAGAATAATTAAATATAAGTTGATTCTTTATATTCCAAGCCCACAAAATTGAAATATATATGAATTTTATTGTGTATTAAATAGGATGCGAAAATATGTTTTTCGGATGACACAATGCCCGATGGATTTAGTGTGAAGAAAGGTGATATGGTGTCGTATCAACCATATGCAATGGGAAGAATGAAGTTCATATGGGGCGAAGATGCGGAGAAATATAACCCAGAAAGATGGCTCGACGAAAACGGTTTATTTCACCTCGAGAGCCCCTTCAAATTCACAGCTTTTCAGGTAAATAGGAATCATAGTTGGCAGTTCTTGATTTTCTTTTTTTATTTTTTTCTAAATATAATTAGTAATTTTGTAGAATAAATTTGAGTTATTTCGATTAACAGGCGGGCCCGCGAATTTGTTTGGGGAGGGAATTTGCTTACAGGCAGATGAAGATATTTTCAGCTGTCCTCCTGAGATTCTTTACCTTCAAATTAAGTGAAGAAGAGAAGATAGTGAAGTACAGAACAATGATCAATCTTCACATCGACGGAGGGCTGTGTTATTGCCGTACACAGATTATGTAAGAAATCGATAATATAGAACTAAGGCTGCATTTAGTAACCGTATCTACTATGTGAAAAGTGTGAGTTTTCGATGTTATCGCTCGTTTTTCACCTGTTACATTTGGAAATTCGATTCCCTTTATCTGCAGATGAAAATCGTATAAAACGAACATAACGTAATAAAGGACAAGTATCGTACATTACTGGACAAAAAAGACATTTCCATATAAGCCAAGATCTTGAAATTTGAGAACAAGGGTTTGTTAGTTTCGACTAGCTTCTCGTTCTTACAAAAGGGTTCATATTATCAGAATAAGTAACGGAATACAACAAATTTAAAAGACCACGTTCTTGCTAGATTGGTGTAGTTACAGCTGGTCCAGGTGGAGGAAGCTTAACCCCAGGCCTTGATGACCATGCTTTACGATTCCTATAGGCATCAACCGCCTGTAGACGAAGCCTTTCTTGTGAAGCAACCGCGGTTGTCTTTAATCCCTTTAGTTTAAGACAAGAAAAAAAAAACATTAATTAATCCAAATAATAAGGGCAGTACCACAATTTCTGCATTAATAATTTAAAAACTAAGAAATACAAAAATGGAGAAGATGAAAACCTTAGGAACAGAAGTTAACTTAGGCGGGGCCATGACAACGTCTCCGAATTTAATATCTTCACATCCGTGAAACTCTAAATCCTCATCTGTCTTGGCTCGTTTGTGTTTGTTCTTTCTTGCTTGCAATAGCCTATAGAAACATCAAATAACAAAAATAAAAAAATAAATATACATATATACACACACGCACAAAAAAAGTGAAATCAAGACAAGAATTCAACAAGCTTACTGTTTTTTACGCTCCTTCCTTTTGGAACCAGCTACAACTGGCTCACCGTCTGCCCCGAAACGGAGGTCATTTGCTTTTTTACCTTTCTTCTTCTTCTTTTTCTTCTTCTCGTCCGAGCTAAATCGAGGGATTTCATCTCCATGTTCTTTAAATTGTGCCGTTGAAGTCTCATCATTTCTCTTTCTTTTCATTCCTGCAGCCGTAGAATTGGCTCCTTCTTCCAACTGAACTCCCTAAGGGGCAAAAAAAACGATATTAAAGATTGTAACCAAGAATGTAACAAAAGCATAAGAAACGAGTGATTTTAAGGTTTTTCATACCCCGCTAATTTCTGCTACT